TTTTGTTCTTACCACATTTTGACGTCATCTGTGATCTATTACTGAACAGACGCACGGCAACATGGAATCTGTTTGTTAAACATAACAAGCCTTTAAGGTAGCTGTAGAACACAGTTTTTGATACCTAAGTTTCATTTACCTTTTTCTTGATAACACTTGATCCTTTGGTCGCCAAAAATGGTAGCAAGCAAGTTAACAACACAAACATGGTATATGCCATTGCCATGGCAACATAAACAAATATAATCAGGCATTTAAAATCAGTTTTGTTTATTTGCAAAAAATCTGGTCGTTCGATTTTCTTTATAATTGGCATGCAACAAGCTTGTAATGATGCTGACACAAGTTAACACTATTTTAGAGAAATTTTTAATTATCCCTTGTCGGAGGTTCACGGGAATACCATGAGTTAAATTAACACAGACATTTTATTTTTTCAGGAAAAAGATTCTTGAAGTTCTTTTGCAATCAACACTGATTGTGATGATAGATGATCCATTGATCTCCAATAGCCTGGGGGAGTTCCTTAACCAAATCTTCTGGGATGTATGTGCCCAAGGGCAGCATTCTTATCACATCCAATGACCCAGAAGTTAAAAGGTTAGCTGCTTTAAATAGGAAAATTTGCTTTTTTAATACAGAACTGAAGGACGAGTTCAGCGTTTCACTTTCATCCATGATGACGAGTTCAAATTAGATGAAAGGTAAGAGAAAGATCTAATGGTACTTGCTGAAGGCAACAAGGTAACTATCAAGTCAATTCTCTCAATTCAAAGAGGAACACCCATGAAAAGTAGACAATGCTCATTGAGCCGCAGGTGAGGGTTTTTACACTTTGCACGTGTTCACAAACATCCGGAGTGTTTTATCATGCATAAATTATACACAGCTCTGCTTTATGATATAGAGTCTGAGGTAGTGTGGCGAAAAACAATAAAACATGCTTTTTCTATGTTTTATACTCTAATCAAACATGGGTTTTTAACCAACCAGACCTCACGCAGGGTCCTATCTATATTATAAATATATATAAAAAATTCACAAATAAATTAATTTGAAAGAAATTGTAAGTTGTTCTTTTCTGTCTAATCTCAGGACCTTCTCATAGCATGGACAATGAGGTTCATGCCATTGTGAAATGAGCTTTCAGAGCAGTCCATTGATGTGACTCAAAGGGTGATTAGAGCCCACCTTAAGGGCGAACAAGTGCGATGGATGAGGATTTGCATATACCATTTTTCTAAGGCAATGGTAGGTCACATTTCGTTTGCAAAAGATCTATAGGTGCAGCATATCTTTCATGAACATTTAACAGATGTTTATGAAAAAATTCATAGATAAAAGGAGGTGTCATCAGCTCCCCTTTAAACTCACCTACATGCATGGTCCCACAGTTAGGAAGCCTAATAACCATATGCAGATTATTTCTCCCCACAAAGGAGGTTGAAAAAGTATTTGGAACACTCAAAAGTTGTCGCCATCCGCTTAATATAGGTTTCACTTTAATAGAAGTAAAAGATACAAAGATGAGTGTGACTTGCCTGCTCAGGAGACAAAAGTTTGTTTCCCTTTCAAGGACATGCTCTTCTCGTGGTTAGAAAAAATTAAGCCAAAAAAACTATTAATAAACTTATCCAGATATAATAGTTTATAGTGGTTATGTTTACGGCTGCGTGCTCATAAGCTTTTTTCGCAAAGGACACCCGTGGTGGTCTACAGAAACCTTAAGATATGGACCTGCCTTGGTTAAAATTAAACATGTTAGCTTAAACTTTGAGTGTTGAATGTTCATTTTGCAGTTTCTGGCATCAATTAAAAC